AAGAATAGAGTCCCATAAAGGCAAACTGAGTTGCCTGTCAAGTTGGTGATAAATTTCGTTCCAAGTAGTACTTTAGGGCCCCACATAGGGGAGGATAGAGTAAATTCTTATCCACGTCGATGAGGCGACGATTAGTTCCCGCCAGAGTAGGAGTAGGGACGAGGTATTTGTTGGAGCCGTGCCACGGAGGAGAGGCGAAAGAGTAGATGTAAGCAGGCCCCTTGGAGTCAAGCACGAACGATTAGGTTTCCAGAGAGGTTGGAATTATTAACCATGCAAAGACCGTGTATTGACCACCCACCAAGAAATCGTTACAGTCGTACATATAAGCGGGCGCCGAGTGTACGAATGACTGTACAGTGTATTCATTAAGAATAATATTGGGACATGCAGGTCCAACATTGAAGCCCAGGCATAATTTACACAAGGCTTGACTGATTCAGTGTCACTAATCTTAAGTGGCCATACAGGTCCAACAGTACTGGACATGCGAGGCCCTACGGGGCATACAAGGCCACTACGGTGAACATGCAGGCACCTCCCGGGACAGGCGATACATGGTGGGGGTCCGCATGCGGTGGACCCTTTTCGGTGGACATACAGGTCCGCTGGCGACATAGGCCGGCATACAGGCCCACTACGGGACATAGGAGTCTGCGCGGCACAGTACAGGCACACGCACTAACATCAGGTCCTTCCATACGAAAGAGATCTCGTTCTGATTGCAAATACAGATTTTAGGGGTGAGAGTAATCGTGATTGGATGAGGTAAATTAGTGGTAATCGTACATTAGTGTATGAACGTTATTAAGGGTACAAACCATCTACCCGTAGATGTGTGGAAGGAGTGCACCACCATGAGGTTACTGGAAATGAGAAAGAGCCCCACCAAGCCCTATTAGAGTTCTCCAAGAGAAAGCGCGGAGGGAAGTTTCCCTCGGGCTTACTACTAGGAAGACCGAAAAGAGTAAACAAACACGCGACACACAAGCGGAGATGCGATATCGTAGAGGAGACCAGTGGCATCATCCGGCAGGGCACAGAGCACAGACAGAGCAGGCGTGTGGTGGGACCTAGTGTTTTCTCTCCTGAGAGGGGAACACCTAACTCCTGAAAGCATAGTTTGAGTTTTGGGGGGGGGGGTAAAGTGACGTAGATGTTACTCTCATCTATGAAAATAAATAGCATACTGCTATATTTAACCATATATCGAGCCCGATCGTCGATTTCTAATGGCTTAATGCAATTGTTTGCCTGTCTGGCCATTGGAATCGGGCTCTTTGAAGATCCAAAAATCTCCGGTTTTCTTACATTTCTGATCGGATTCGCAAAAACTTCATAATTTGTATTGACCGCCGTTCAACTGACAGCATTGTTTTCCCCCAAAAGTGGGCGGAGCCGTTATTTTTGCCCGGAAGTGACGCATTTGTTACTCTCATCTTCACAAAACAACAACAAACTTTTGCTGAGCCAATTGGAGAGTTTCATCACCAGCACGTGGTAAAACCCACCAATGAGCGCTCAGCTCGAGATACCAGCGAGTCGTTTCCCATCAAGCATTTACAGTAGCTTCCGCAGCCCGTGGAGAGGAACTGCGCCGCCTCGCCGCGCCTCGCTCTCAAGGCTGCGGGCGTCTTTGTCCCGCGAGATTTCAACGTCTCAAGTAGGCGAGCCTCCAGAGCAAGTCGGACAAAATGACTAACCATCATGCAACCCACTAGCAAGACGTTGATCGAAATTGCGCAGGTCTGCGCAGGTCTCGCTTGTCTCAAACAAGCCTGCTGACTCGGAGCTGTCCGACTTCAGGCGAGCTTTTTGAGACCACCCCCGGCTGCGATCGGCTATTCTCGTCTACTTTCGAGGCGAGCCGCAACGCGTCTCAAACAAGCCTACTACCCGATCTGCAGCTCTGCCCGATCTGTACTGCACATGTGCGAGATGGTCCGCCATATTGGACAACTCCGGATGGCAACCCAAGTAGGACACTTGACACAGTGGCTTTTGGCAAAGCTCAAAAATAAAACTCGAGAGAGATTAGTTATTGTTATTACAACGTGACTTCACTATTATTTAACAACTCTTTTTATTGGGTTCTTTAATTTGGGGTTAAATATATTGTCAGAATAAGTGAGAAATTAATTTAACTTCTGTTAGACAGCTATCATACTGAATAAATATTTACTGTGAATGTATGCAAAAATGTATGGCAGANGCCATATTAGACGACTACATACGGCAACTCTAATAGGACACTTGACACTTTTGGCAAAGCAGAAAAAGAACCGAGAGAGATGAGTTATTGTTATTACAACATGACTTCACTATTATTTAACAGCTCTTTTTATTGGGTTCTTTTATTTGGGGTTAAGTACATTGTCAGAATAAGTGAGAAAAGGATTTAACTTCTGTTAGACAGCTATCATACTGAATAAATATTTACTGTGAATGTATGCAAAAATGTATGGCAGAAGTTAAATCCATTTCTCACTTATTCTGACAATTCTGACTAACCCCAAATAAAAGAACCCAATAAAAAGAGTTGTTAAATAATAGTGAAGTCACGTTGTAATAACTAATCTCTCTCGGCGCTTTTTCTGCTTTGCAAAAAGCCACTGTGTCAAGTGTCCTATTGGAGTTGCCGTATGTAGTTGTCCAATATGGCGGACCATCTCGCACATGCGCAGTACAGATCGGGCAGGGGGGCAGATCGGGTAGCGACAGCCAGTCCCCAACTCCGGGGACTTCCGGCCGGGGACTTCCGGCGGTAGTTGTTTGCGGCCTGCCAGTAAACCCAAAGCAGAAGAAGACGAAGTGACATCAGCGGCTCATTTGCTTAATCTTCCCTCAGGGAACTTATTCCAGTGTGAACGCAATCGGCTCTTAGTTCCATAGGGGAACTAAGTGCTGGGAACTAAGTGCTGAACTAAGTATACAAGTGTACATTGAGGAAGCTTTTTCTCTGGGCGATTTCCACTAACCAGTTGATAAACAGGGCTGAGAGAGCAGACAATTGGATGGTGTAGTTGATCTTGATCTTAATTCAGCCTGTAGCTCTGTTGTCCTTCCTCACAAAACACACAAGGGCGCAGTTAAATAAACCTGTTCTGCTTCACAATCATAAAGTCTCTTGTAGTTGGAAATACTGTTTTCTGACTCACTCCATAAAGATCTTCAGTTCTGTGACAAATGTATGTTGTTTTTTGACACAGATATACTGTTAAATGCTGAAATATTTGAATGTGTCTTCCTTGTGTTGTTGTTACTTAACATCAGTTGCTTATAGAGTGATGAGTGAGGCAACAAATGCCCCCAAAACAATGCATGATTGAGCACTGTACAATGAGTAAGAAAGGAAAACACATACATGTCGTAAAACCCCACATGGGCCAGGCACCTGCTAAAAACACAAAACCCTGGACAGATTGACTGCTGCGGAATTCTGCATGAGGTCAATCCAGTAACATCAGTTTGTTGGTATTCCCTCTGTCTTAGTGCAGCGCACATTTCATCCTATCAAAGCAAACGTTTTCTCAAAAATTAAAATAATTATTACTCTTCTTAAAGGTTACCTTTCAAAAACCTTTAAATACCACAATTTCCGTGACAGCGCCTCACAAATGTATTAACAACTAGAGCAGCAAGTAATGAAATGTTTTTATCCTCTACATCAATCATTTGTATAATTTCTAATTGCCTTACACATATTTTAAGCTGCTTGAAAGGCATAGATACAAACCTTAGCATTGATAATTATTGCTATCTCTGAATAAATGTCAAGCGTTTGCCTGTTGTTCTTCTATATGTCATACCAATTTTGTAAAAAGGTCAAGATAAAAAAGCACATAAAAAAAGCATAATTTCTAAAGATATACCAGATCACTCTGTTTCCATGCAGAACATAGGCTTAAAGAAAGTGGAAAGGTGGTTTCTACTGTCTGTTTGCTTTATCTTAATTTCTTCATACTCACTCTGTCTTCCTCCAATAAAGGACAGAACTGCCGTTGTCTGGCCCTGGGGCCACAGCAGTGCTCTTTAGCATTTTCAGACCTTATGTTCAGGTTGGGGGGAAGAGTCACACTGGGGTCCATTTGTCTTTTCTGCACCCAAGGTTTGCAGCTGTGGCAGCATGGGGCCAGAGATCCACAGATAATGATTTTACCTCTGCTCGCCTGCGGGTACCGTACATCACTTCACAATCATGTTAACCACCAAACTCCCCAGCCAAGAGTGCAACAAATGCACTTGATGTCGTTGTTGCTGAGGTAAAAAAAAAACTGACAGAGTGGCCCAAACAGCAAAACAAGGTGTTGCTCTCTCTCTCTATGTCCGTTTGTGTGTGTGTGTGTGTGTGTGTGTGTGTGTGTGTGTGTGTGTGTGTGTGTGTGTGTGTGTGTGTGTGTGTGTGTGTTTCACAATCTAATCTAATTTGTGAAGAGCTGTGGAGATTGGATTGAACTGATAAAGTGACTTAATTTTCGAAAGTTGACTTTTCTCTTTATGTAAAGCCCAGAGGTCAAAAGCTTTAATTATTGTCTAAAAATGACTAATATGGCAAATGGTTGGCTGTTACCATACAAATTCACCTATCTGGTGTAAATGTTAATCAAATAAGTATGAATTAAGAAAATATAGACATATTGTTTTATTTAGACACTAAACATGCATCAATAACTTGTGAATGTTAACTGTATAAAAGCATAAAATAAATAAACCATAACTGATAACTTCACATGTATTTAAAGTTTTTAATTGCAAATGTAAATTCATCAATCTTTTGAATTGTTTGAAGACCACTAAAAAACGACCAATTATGAGAAAAATGCTCGAGTGTAGGTTTTACAAAAGATTGCTACTATACGGCTCTGGGTTGGGATGAGTCTGATAGATACTGCGCTTTGATTTATTACAGCAGCATTAGCAGGTTTGACGTCAGAAACCGCAAACAAATGACCCTATAAAAACAGCGAACCTGTGAAAAAAGGGGAAAGCTTTGAGCGCAAGACAACGCCGGATAGATCTAGAGAGCGAAACAACTGCACTGCCACTTTACTAGTACTTCGACACGCCAAAGACCACAGAAGACTTTTGCGTCTGAAGATGACCCTGTCAAGCAGCTCCACGTCCTCTACAAAGACCATCCACAGAGCAGCATCCGAGCTGGAGAGGTCTGACTCCATCACGGTAAGAAATATATAATTAAGTTTAAGTTTTCTGTTATTTTAGATTTCAACTATTTGACATAGTGTTACCAGTGATGTGTCTGAATAATATCCAGAATACCACCTAAAACAGTTATTGCGCGCAGAGTGCTTGACAAGGTGACAATTACGCACGATGGCCGCTGTATTAAAAGCATTTAGCAAAACACCTTATGTCAGCTACTCAATGTAGCCGTGTCCTAGGTTTGACTTGATTGACAATCAAAACATCTACAGTACGCAAGACTTTGGTTTCTCTTTTGGGACAGTCTCAAAGGTTCCTCGGTAGACGGCAAAGCTTGATCGAGGACGCGCGCAAGGAGAGGGAAGCCGCCGCTGCAGCCGCAGAAGCTGCAGAGGCCAGCGAGCAGATAGTGTTTGAGGAGGACAATGGGAAAGCGCTGCTCAACCTTTTCTTCACTTTAAGAAACTCCAAGACTCCTGCACTGTCGAGGACACTCAAAGTTTTCGAGGTATAACTCTTGTGAGGTTGCAAATATGTTTTTTGTGTATTTGTAAGCAGAATTCTGACGAAAGGGTGTGGTGTACCACTTAGGTCACGCTTTATAACGAGTTTATACGATGCAATTGATTAAGGACTATTAAAGCATTTACTAATGCTTTAAAGGTACACTTTAAAAAAAGGCATCATTTATTAGACAATTTCTTTGTGTTTTATTTTCAAAAATGCAACTGGTTGGTGTTGTATCCCTTGAACTGTAATTAATGCAGTTTAAATCTAGCCAATATTCATATATATTTGTATGTGCATGGGTTTCTCACCCTCTAAAAAACTGTTATTAATGTTAAGTTTAGTGAGAGGTGAGTAGTCGGAGGGATAACATCTATTTGTCCACACAGTGAGATCTTGATAATCTATTAGAGGTTATGACTTCTAAATGATCAATTATATTTAACATAGATGGCAATGTGGTCTATATTTCTTGGAGAGAATACAAACAAATAAGTAATATAGCCTCTTGGTGAGGACAGTACCTAAGCAGGCATAACTGAATTAAAAAAAATCCAACTCCTCTTACATTTTATGTTACACTGTTGAATGTATTAAAACTAGTTGTTGCATATTTTGTTTAGCTTGATTTTATAAAGAAATTCTGCATTCTTTTTTCCTCGTCATTCATCCAAGTCTTCTCTGTTCTCACTGGTATTTTTAAGAGACTGTTCCACAATATATTGGCATGCTTTCTCAAATACTGTGCTGCATAAATGCATCCTACCTTTGTCATACTGTGCATTTAACCTATTGATGTAGTAGTTACATTAAGGTGTCTTGACTTTATTTCAGACATTTGAAGCTAAGATTCAACATTTGGAGACGCGCCCGTGCCGGAAGCTGAAGGACAGCGGGGAAGGCCTGGAGTACTTTGTCCGCTGTGAGGTGCACCTCTCAGACGTCAGTACTCTCATCAGCTCCATCAAGAGAAATGCAGAGGACGTTAAAACCACCAAAGAAGTCAAATGTAACATCATTTACTTATTTTTATTATAAACCATTTGAAACGTATTTGATCAAACTAAATTTGTATTTGACTTTCTCTTCTAGTTCATTGGTTCCCAAAGAAAATAGCAGATTTGGATAAATGTCATCATCTGGTCACAAAATTCGATCCAGACTTGGATCAAGACCATCCTGTAAGTAATGACTTTTCCAATATCGTGCATTCGGAGAATTCTCAATATTCTGCTGAGTATGTTGTTGGAGCAATATGTCATAAAACAGAAAATGTGATCAGTGTTTGATAGGCCTATATTTGATTTGACAGGGCTACACAGACCCTGCTTACAGGCAGAGGAGGAAGATGATCGGAGACATCGCCTTCAGATACAGACAGTGAGATACAGTCTTTTGCCTGAATGCTGCACAGACATTATTTTTTAGAAAACTTGATTATCCCTTATGCATGTGTATTTGTGTTTTTCCTCAGTGGGCAGACAATTCCCAGAGTGGAATACACAGAGATGGAGATTGCCACATGGTAAAGGCATGCTCATTTAAAATACAGTTGATATGAACACTTACACCAAAAAGCATGATACCAAAATATACGCTGAAAACAACTCCTTGCCTGTTTTTCTTATGATCAGTTTGACTTTCTTGCCGTTTGATTATGAGAGCTTTGATGTGTCAATTCACAACCCACTGAGTCCCTTTTTATATTGTCTTTAAAGACAGATAACATTTGTTTTGTATTTTTGATGAATTCGTTTCAGATCAAAGGCTTCAATAATTTCAAAGCATTCTAGGTGTGCCAGCTTCAGCACATCATTTTATCAGGGAGATGGAAACGTGATTTTATGGGATAGTTTACAATTAAGTGAATTTATACTTGTATGATTGATTTAATGTGCACAGTTTTGCCAAAAGAAGATGTCTGAGTCTATGACTTGCCAGTTAGACAGTTATTTGAAAAGAATGGTTTTGCATTGTACTTAAAAAGCTATTAAGATAAATGATCAAGCAGTAGTTTAAAATAGAAATATAAGATAGAAAATGTTGGGAAATTGCAATGCAGAGAATGGTACAACTAAACAGTCCCAAAAGTGTTTTTAATTATATTTACAGCTCATTTTATCCTTATCAATGGTTACACCTCAATGCTTGAAAGTCTTTTGTTAAAGAAGAAAACCTGAATGTCATTTAATCCCGAATTAGGAGAGAAGTCTACTCAACTCTGAGGGAATTGTATATCACACATGCCTGCAGTGAATACCTCGATGCCCTCCATCTGCTGGAAAGGCATTCTGGGTACGGTCCAGACAACATTCCCCAGTTGGAAGATGTGTCATGCTTCCTCAAAGGTAAAGACGGGTTAAGAAACCAAACCGAAGTGTTCAGTCTATATAATACACTCTCCATTTACCTATATTCTTTCTCTTTGTCTCTTTATCTATTGTTTCCCTAACACACACTCAAACAGAGCGAACAGGGTTCCTGCTCCGTCCAGTGGCAGGTCTGCTCTCCGCCAGAGATTTCTTGGCCAGTTTGGCATTCAGGGTGTTCCAGTGCACCCAATATATCCGACACGCCTCGTCCCCTATGCACTCCCCAGAGCCGTGAGTATGAGTGTGACTTCTCTTGCTTTGCTCTTCGCATTAAACCTCATCCAACATATGGCCATTGCCATTAAAATAATAATAAAGCAAACATATACAATGAACTTAAAGTTATCTCTCAAATTCCTTTTTAGTCTGCAAGAAAAACACACTTCTGTCTTCACTTCTCTTGTTAACACAATTTGTACCTTAAAGTCTGTATATAGTTAAACATATCTGTATAGGGTTTTTCCATCTAGATATAATATGGTGCCAGTTGAATCTCTCTTTCTTTCCGTTTAGTGACTGTGTACATGAACTGCTGGGCCACGTCCCAATGCTGGCTGATCGCACTTTTGCCCAGTTTTCACAGGTAAGAGGGTGGAGGTCCTGAGCAGTCTTATAATGCATGCTGTGTTATTTATTTTACTAACCTTTTTATTATGTGCTTCAGAACCTTGGTCTGGCATCACTTGGGGCTTCGGATGAAGATATTGAGAAACTGTCCTCAGTAAGACTTCAGTCCTCCAACACATATTTACGTTCATTGTTAAGTGGTGACCTCCAGTGGCTGTAGCAATTATGACAGGAGAAAAATAAATAAGTCAGGTGACGTAAGAGACCACTAGGGAGGGGTCAAACAAACAAAGGTCAACATTAACTCATTTTAACTTCCACAACTTAATTTACATATACATCACATACGTGATGTTCTTAACTTACATGCCTTACTAAAGTTATGCAACACACGTACTAAACCAAAACGACAAACTTTGATGTTTTCCTCAACGTAACCACATGGTTTTGTTTTGATTTATAATGTTATCAACGTGTAGAAACCGCTTCAAACACTTCAAAAAACTTTAAAAAACTTCACCCCCCCTTTTTGGACTCACAACCAGCTCTGGTCCCTTTTGTACAGTCCCTTACCTAAGATGTGTGAAAAAATGATTTAATAGTCCACCCCAGTATCCTTCTTTCTCTCAGTAAATCTATTTTATTTCCCATCAGCTATACTGGTTCACTGTTGAGTACGGCCTCTGCAAACAGAATGGTGAGGTGAGGGCTTACGGAGCTGGACTGCTCTCCTCTTACGGAGAACTGGTGGTACGTTCAAGCATGTTCTCTCTGTTATCTGCTTTAAAATATGATCGTTATCTCCGCCACCTGAGCTGTCAGGTAACTCTCAATCTTTCTCTTTTATGTAAATCCAGCACTCGCTGTCTGATGAACCAGAGACAAGGCAGTTTGAACCAGAGGCTGCAGCGAGGCAGCCCTACCAAGACCAGACGTACCAGCCAGTCTACTTCATTTCTGAAAGTTTTACAGATGCCAAGGAAAAATTCAGGTACTGAATCATACATGCATTCTTGTTCAAACCCAAGCACAAATACACAAGAACATAGAGAGACAAAGAGAAGTAGAGAAAAACAAAAAGAGGGGGTTATGCAAGGACAAGGTCATAGAACAGCCAGCCGGCCCCTGAGGCCACACACTTCAGCCATAGTTGCCAGAAGACAGCTGTTACTAATGTAGTGTTTCTTACCAAGGCAAAATGCTGTAGTTTTATCTGGCAAACAGATCAAATGTTAGCCTGCAAAACAAGTAGCTTTAGTGAATGTTTTCACAACATTTGGTTTCTATTAGAATATAAAATGTGGCATCCTTGACACACTCAGAGAAAATGATCTGCCCGGGAATGTTTGTCGAAGTATAGGCCCATAGTGAATATATTTCCTGTGTGTACTGACACAAGCAGGATAATCCATTCTTTATTAAGTGCAAAATGCATAGGATAAACTACAACTGGGGGAACCTTTTTCTAATCAATTAAGTTTTCACTGGCCACAATAAATATTTTGGTTTAAATTCTCTGCATTTATGAAGAGCTCATATACTCATCTTTGACTTCTTTGAGGGTTCTAACTGTTTTGTATATTTGACAAAGGGGTTACGTGGCGGGAATCAAGCGTCCCTTTTCCGTGAGGTTTGATCCATTCACCAGCAGTGTGGAGGTGCTTGACAACCCACTGAAGATCCAAGCAGGCCTGGATGGAGTGAAGGACGAGCTCAAGATGCTAACAGACGCCCTCAGTGTTTTGTCATGATGATGTCCCGGTTCTGCGACCGCCCTGCTGTTGTCTGCTTCCTCTCTGCTGCGCTCAGAGACGTCCGACGTGTGATCAAGAGCAATGTGTTCATCTTTCTGTGCTGTACTTCCAGTATGATGCTGTTTCTGAAGAGTTGTTGCTTGCTGGTAGGCCGACAATGTTGCAACCATTAAAACCTCAAGTCACAGCGCAGGCTTTCCAAAGATGTTTAACACCTCGCTGGGTGAAATTAATTGGGTTTTACTGACTGGGCCATTCATTACTTCTAAATAAAAAATTTGTTGTTTGAGAAATGTGTCAAAATCGGAACCAAAATAAAGGGAATTGTGGTAATGAATGTATAAAAAGAAAACTAAATGAGTATAGTACAATTACTTTAAAATCAAAGAAACAAATGAAAATATTAAAGTGTCTAACAAATAAAACATATTTATGAAACATATATGAAATCACAGTTATATTATTTAGAAATTAATATCTCTCATGTGTTAAATTCTTTATTTTGCAGATGTGAATTCAGTATTTGAGTATTGTCTCTAAATGTATTGATTTATCTGGCGTTTCTGTCGTACAGTGTATCGCATAATGAAATAAATAATACAACATACTTTCCATGTAATGAACTGTTGACTACTGCTTCAAAAACGTATCTATCAAACATTAAAGATGGCAAATTAAAAAAATTCTGTCATCTCTTATTTATTTATGTTGTGTCCATATATTGCAAAACACTACAGACCAACATTGTATAATACTTGGCTAGGACATCTGTCTGCCACAAGAGGGGGCAGTCCAGCAGGGTGTTTATGCTTAGTCTTAAATTCACAGCAAATTCTATTTAAGCCTTTCAATTAATACATTTCCTTTATGCTATCTGCCTGGCTTAAACGTAAATGAACAATTTTGCAATATTATTAAATGTTAAAAACAAGCTAATATGCATCTGTATTACAAAAATACACCTCTGTAAAGTTAAGGGAAATAGCTTAAGAAACAGATATTCTAACAAATACAATACTTGTTTTTCTATTATATTAAAATGTTGCATCACCGCCATTTAAATGACAACAGACAACCTCAAGAATGCAAGCTCATCATCACCAATTGGACCCACATTAGTACTGTCTATGAATATTCATTGGAGAATAAATGAATACACGCTTTTAACGAACCAACCTTGGGGGATTTGTCCAGACAGAGCTCCTGTCCTGGTGTTCAGGTATCAGTGGGCAGCTGTTCAGTACTCTCTGATGAGCAACCAACCTGCTGAACGCTGCGAGACAAACAAACGGTTCACTCCCAGGACCACTAGGTGTCAGTCTAAGTCTGAAGACATGTCCGCATCCCTACCTTCTGCAGAAGCCCCACTTATATAAGGGAACCCTCAAACAGTGTTAGGGGGAAAAAAGAAAAAGCTTACCTTTATGTAAAATGACATTTTGGAGCTTGATGCATGCAGGACATTGTTGTGTCTATTGTACAACCTGTGCAGCATCTGGAAGAGTTTTTTTCCTGCTGGTATTTAAACAGTCATCCACAGTATGAGTGATGCATTGACCGTTTTAAATATATAAATTATTTTTAATATTTAGTTTTTCACTTCCTCCAAATATGCAGCATTTACAGTTGACTACTCTGCAACAGCCACTCATTGCTGCTGCTGCATCATCCTGTTGCCTTCAGGTAACTAATCAACATTCACTCACCCGGTGACTGCATCCATACCTGAGTCAGTGAGCCGCAGACCATGGCCACACTTCTTCCACTCTGAATGTTAATCTTAATTACAGCAGGGCGGACACTTTGACATTTTTCTTGGAGTCTGAGGAATTACGTCTATTCTTGTTCAGTCTGCGTCCTGTGTGTAAACATTGTGATTGTAGGTTACAGTGCGTAAACGTGGAAAATGCCTATGGAATTGTTCCATATTTTGTAACTCTCACTCTCTTTGCCTTTTCTCCCGTTTAAGCACTTTTCCATAAAACGTCCATGGACCATTTTTTTTTAAACCAGCAGTGAAGAGGAGGAGCGAGGGGTGTGGTGTGGGTGTAAGGGGCGTGTTTGGTATATAATAGTTTTCACAGTGAAGTTTTGCCTGTCGCCTGGTCTTTGGGACAGCGTCTCACACATCATCTCATTAGCTTCACCAACTGGGAAACTAACTCACCTGCAACCTTTCCAACCAAATAACCCCTACATTTTGACTACTGCCAACTGACATGGAGACCCAGCAAAGACACGGACACCAATCAATTTGCCACACCTGCCAGAGAACGGAGAGCAGCAGAATGAAGGTAACCAGAGGGAACAAATAGTTTTACACTCTCCGGTTGTGCTGCGCGTGTATTCATAGATCTCTGGCAGGGTTTTAACCATGTTTGATTGGCTCTGTAAGTGGGACACCGCCTCGGGCTGAGCAGATGCATTGATCGCATCATTTTCTTTTGTGCAATATGGGAACTGGACATATGTTTTAATTTTGCATGCTGCAAAAGAGAAAGTTCAAGATACACAAATGACATGGAGTGTGCTTGAAGCTTTGAAGCATTTGTGCAACAGGTTGCCTGATATGATAGAAAACGAGAAACGGGTTGAGAAGTATTTTTTATTCTTCTCCCATCTGGACGGTACGCCGCTTACTGGATTCGGAGTAAACAGCTGGTCTTTGATTCGGCAGATAGGGGGCGGTAGGTCTGAGGGTCAGTGAGCTCACCACAGGGTGAGCAAGGGGAAAATATATGCTGAGTCTGGCTTTTCAGATAGTTAACTATCGAGCAGCCGGTCTTGCAACTTCTGGGGAGTTGTGTAAGAGTGTGAACGGCAGAGATACCGTCTACTTTTTCCCTAAGAATAAGCACTTCTCTCAGGTGCAACACAATGACAGCGGGTGATAACAGTTGAAGGGGGGTGGATGTGCATTTGACATCATTTGATTGCACGCAATTGGCTTCTTTCTAAGTTAGAAGGTCAATATATAGAAAAGGTATACACTGGAATTATACGTCTTGTTCAAGCATGCCAATGTAAAAGAGGGGCTCCTCTTTTAGAGTGGCTCCTCTTTTACCAAAACGTATAGGCAACATCTGGCTGTCATATGAGAATTATATGTTGATGACTTCTGTATTGTGTGCTCGCATTTGATGACCCGTTGCTTCACGGTGAAAATATGTTTTTTTCTGTTGCCTGCAGGTCAAGAAGATGTCTTCGTCCAGTCGCGTGCTGCTGTTTGCACTGGCCCTCGCGCTCTACGCTGTGGAAATAGCCTCGGCGGAGACGCTGTGTGGGGGAGAGCTGGTGGATGCGCTGCAGTTTGTCTGTGAAGACAGAGGCTTCTATTTCAGTAGGTTTTCAATCCCGGCACAAGTTTAGCACAATGCGCTGCACACAACGCCGTTTAGCTTTTTTATGTCCCTCTGTTCTTCATTCGCACACATCTGTTTGGATAGCTGAGGCTATCTCTGTCTGTGGCTGTGTGGTATTTTTCTTTCTCACACACACACACACACACACACACACACACACACACACACACACACACACACACTGAGTGACAGACAGAAAACAGTGAGAAGGAGATTATAGCCAGCTGTGTGTCTCAAGACCTCGTCCAGGCTGCTCGGCTGAGTGTGCCTACAGCCCATACCTCTCATTGCATATGAAAGGCCGACGAGCTGTGAAGGCACACGCGACACAATGGGCCGCTTGTTTACCAGTAAATTAATTGCACCCAAATAGGCATACCAGTCACCTCAGGGGGGGGGGGGGGGGGGTTTGATGTCAGGTTAAGAGGAAGGATCATTAACATCAATTCTGATTATTGCTTCCATTGTAGTGATGATGGGTATAGCTGTAAAGCATTATGAGAATGTATTGTGGTGGTTGTTAATCCTCACAAGGATAAGCTTCTGTTTGCACTGCCTGCAGTGTTTGTGACATACATGAGTTCACCTTCATTCAGTATATCTGCATTTTCTTTTCATTTCATTAAGATATAGTCCCATCCTCTGCTTTTCACCTTTGACAGTTTCTTTGTGTGCTGCCCGCCACAGAAGCTTCTCAACAATCGGAAAGATCATTATCCAATTTAGGCTGACATAGATGTGCTTCCTCCTTTTCTCCTTCCCCCCCACTGGATCACCCTCTCTTTTGCTCTCATGTTCCTCTTCCTGCAATCACATCTAGCTGTCCCTCTCATGAGATTTGGGAGCAGGACTTCAAACAAGGCCTTTATTGGTCGAGGATAGTGTTCCCTTTTGCAACATGCTCACCCTTTACCCCCCTCATCTTATTCTTCTATACCTTTCTCTCCTGTGTCTTTACTCTCTTCCTCTTTTGTTTCACATTCTTTCCCTCTGTTTCGACGTCACACAACCTCTCTCCCTCACTGATCCCTTTTCTCCTGTTTTCTCTACCTCTCTGCCCCTCCTCATCCTCTTTATCTTTGCTGACTTGACAAAGGACAAGGTCACAGCAGAGTTTCCATTTTATGTATTTGCTCACCCAAAGGTCTGTCTGAGAGCTTAACTGTCTGTCTCCATCAGTCTCTTTTGGTGTCTACAGCACAGGGTGTTTACTTGTGTATTCACTCATTAAGGGACTTCCAGATAGCCCTAATCAGATTATCCTCTGCAAACAAAAAGATTTGTTGCAGTTGTTCATAGATTTCCTTTTATCCTCTTTGCTCCATGGACTGCTATGATTGTTGAAGTAATCCTACGAAAACAACCTAGATTCTTTACTGATGCCAGTGTTGTGTTCCCAGGCCTTAACCTCACCCTCCTCACGCTCTGTACTCATCCCTTGTTGTGTTTATCTTCAGGTAGGCCAACCAGCAGGGGGAACAACCGGCGCAACCAGAACCGTGGGATTGTAGAGGAGTGTTGTTTCCGTAGCTGTGACCTCAACCTGCTGGAGCAGTACTGTGCCAAACCCGCCAAGTCCGAAAGGGACGTGTCGGCCTCCTCTCTGCAGGTCATACCAGTGATGCCCGCACTGAAACAGGTATGTCTTAACAACAACAACAAGAGGCCAGTATGGGAAACTGTTCTAAAGCTTGGTTTTATCTGTCCATCCATCTCCTGTGCCTCCATTCACCTCTGAGCCTCACCCCTATCTCTGACACCAAGAACAGACTGAAACCTACACAAAGACAGGTTTATCTGGTTAAAATGGACATTGGTAAGCAGTTAGCTTCCATGTAAAGTGCTGAGCCTCATGGAAATATGTGTGTGTGTGTGTGTGTGTGTGTGTGTGTGTGTGTGTGTGTGTGTGTGTGTGTGTGTGTGTGTGTGTGTGTGTGTGTGTGTGTGTGTGTGTGTGTGTGTGTGTGTGTGTGTGTGTGTGTGTGTGTGTGTGTGTGTGTGTGTGTGATTAGTCACGGAACAGCAAGCTGCCGAAACTGGCATGCGTTATGATCTGTGCGGTCAAAAACACCTGACCTGGCCAGCAGAGCTTCTCCGGAATCTGTCACAAACATGCATCAAAGCATTTCAGGTCTTTGTGATCACAAGACCGAGCTGTGGCTGCTTTCCAGGACTCTTCAAATCCTTTCCACCCTCCTTTTAGACAAGGCTGGAAAGATGTGTATAGGGTTTCTGCTTTGACTTGTTTGAAAATCTGCATCAGTGGTTGGAGATTGTTAGTGATGTAAACAAACCCAAAATGAACTT